TCACTCACCCACTCACCACACCACACGTCACAATAACACACTCACCCACTCACCGCACCGCACGTCACAGTAACACACTCACCCACTCACCACACTGCACGTCACAATAACACACTCACTCACCCATTCACCACACCGCTCGTCACAATAACACACTCACTCACCCACTCACCACACCACACGTCTCAGTAACACACTCACTCACCCACTCACCACACTGCACGTCACAATAACACACTCACTCACCCACTCACCACACTGCACGTCACAGTAACACACTCACTCACCCACTCACCACACTGCACGTCACAATAACACACTCACTCACTCACCACACTGCACGTCACAATAAAAACTCACTCACCACACCACACGTCACAGTAACACACTCACTCACCCACTCACCACACTGCACGTCACAGTAATACACTCACTCACCCACTCACCACGCTGCACGTCACAACAACAGTCTCCCTCTGTTTCTTCCCGCGGACGACTCATCTCTGGAATCCTCTCTCCCGGCATCATCATCGTGGTCTCTTTCTCCCCACCCCCAAGTTACCAACGCAACCTCGCTCAATCCCAGCTAACGCGTTTATGTTCTATTTTCTATTAACACCTTCGTTGGTTGCCGTTTGTTGCTGGCCGCTTTGCGTTCGGGCCTTTGCGCGTGTGCGCGCTGCTGGACACGGCCACGCGAAAAGCGACCACTTGTGATCGCCCAGATCGCTTCTCAAGAGAGGGCCACGCAGCTCAAGGGGGCCTTATCTGGTACAATAACAAAAAAAACACATTTCTTAAAGAGTTGGTATTTTCTTTTAAATATACAACTCGCTTGAGACTTGGGGCCAATCCGAGAGCTGGGGGGCGGGGGGGGAGTGGGGGGCTGTGGGGAGGTTTGGGGGGGAGGTAGGGGGCTGTGCTGCGCGTGCAAGGGCTATGAGCTCACGCCGAGTAGGGAGGGGGGGGGTGCGGCCAAGCCACGCAGCCTCCCACCACCACCGCCACGCAGCCTCCCACCACCACCACAGCCACCACCACCACGCAGCCTCCCACCACCACCACCACCGCCACCGCCACGCAGCCTCCTACCACCGCCACCACCACCACCACGCAGCCTCCCACCACCGCCGCCACCACCACCACCGCCACGCAGCGTCCCACCACCACCGCCACCACCACCGCCACGCAGCCTCCCACCACCACCGCCACCACCACCGCCACCACCAACCCCCCTTCCTCTTGCCCCCACCCCCCGACTCTCCCCGAGCCACGTGCGCGGGGCTGCATGCGTGCCGGTGATGAATGCGCCTGGTGTTCAGGAAACTTCTCCGCTCTCTATTTTACTGCGTCAGGCAAAGAACGCGCACGCATCCGAGGCTGCAGGTGCGCGAGGTGTGACGCTAACAACCACGTGGCCTCAAAGTGCACCTGGCCTGGCACAGGCGCGCCGTGGTGGCGTCACCGCCACTTAGTGGCGAATGGCGGGTGTTGTTGTTGTTGTTTATATTAACAGCACGAATACAAACACGTGTATCACGCAGCCGTTGGTGCAAAATGCCTGTGGCCAGCGTTTCAGATGACGGCCATTGCTCAATCGCTCGCGCCACACCGCTGGTGGAAGGGACTGCCAGGAAGAGCTGTAGAGAGAGTGGGAGAGAGGGGAGCCCTACTGAGGAGCATGTGCTTAGCCTACTACTCTGTACGCTGGCCAAACATATTGGAAGACGTGGGGGGGGGGGGCGGGGTTACACACTCCTTACCCCTCCTTTAGAGCCCTAAACTCACACAGAAACTCATAGACTCACACAGAGACTCATAGACTCACACAGATACCCATAGACTCACATAGAGACCCATAGACTTACACAGAGACCCATAGACTCACACAGAGACCCATAGACTCACACAGAGACCCATAGACTCACACAGATACCCATAGACTCACATAGAGACTCATAGACTCATATAGAGACCCACAGACTCACACAGAGACCCATAGACTTACACAGAGACCCATAGACTCACACAGAGACCCATAGACTTACAGAGACCCTTTGACTCACACAGAGACCCATAGACTCACAGGGACCCTTTGACTCACACAGAGACCCATAGACTCACACAGAGACCCATAGACTCACACAGAGACCCATAGACTCACACAGAGACCCATAGACTCACACAGAGACCCACAGACTCACACAGGGACCTACAGACACACATAAACTGGCCAGATGGCATGGAAGGGGTAGAAGTACCCACACTTTACCACACCATACGCGATCGACTAACTTGCTGTGTACCCATTTACACTGCTGGGGTGGACAGAGTCAGTCGTGGGGGTGGTGGTGGTGGTGGTGGAGGATTTCAGAAACTTGCTCCACTCTTTCAGCTGCCTCGCCATGGAGACGGAGTCGAACCGTCAGCCCTCTGGCACCGCGTGCCCCGCGCGCTGCCGGACCCCGCCAGCGCGCTCCGTGGGGGCGCGTTTGTGGAGCCGCGCCGGGCGAGGCAACTCTGCGTCTTGACGCGGGGGGGTGGGGGGGGAGTTGCTCCTCCGCACGCGCGAAGCTAATTCCCTCGCTGCTCGCGCCGCGTCTGGTGTGTGTGTGTGGGTGTGTGTGTGTGGGTGTGTGTGTGGGTGTGTGTGGGTGTGTGGGTGTGTGTGGGTGTGTGTGTGGGTGTGTGTGGGTGTGTGTGGGTGTGTGTGTGTGGGTGTGTGTGGGGGGGGGGTAGCGGTTAGGGCGCTGCGCTACGAACCTGGTGACCAGGGTTCGATTCCCGAACATGGCCAACATCAGTGGCGATTATCTGAACCGGTCCTGGACCTCCCCTAGATCGACTCAGCCTCAAATGTGTACCTGGTGCGATGTGTAAACATCGCCACTGGGGAGACAAAGGCGGCCGGGCGTGGTTTTGGCCGCCCACCCCTCTCGTGTGCCCTGCCGGCCTTCATAGGTGCTCGCTAACAGCACTTGCGACCCTACAGTCTGTTAAGGCTATACGGGGGATCTTTGTCTTTATATATTGTGTGTGTGTGGGTGGCCACGGCTGTATTTAACAAAACATCGTAACGCGCGCAGCGAGCAGGCGTTTGTGCCGTCACGCTAATGGACACCGTCTGTTTGCCCCATCGTTTGACGCATCGCGCACGAAGGGACGGAGGGAGCGAGACCCCTTTGTGCAGGACGGGGGGGGGGGGAGCCACGCTAGCGACGGGCCGACGACGCCTCGGCCGCGCGACGGATGCACGCCCCAGAGAGCTCAGCGCCCCCAGGGGACGTCCAGCGGCAAACCCCTGAAGACTGCACGAGCAGAACACGGGGGATCGTGACACGCGGGGCACTTTTGTGGATCCACCGCTAGGACCAGGGCCTCCATCCCCTACCCCCCCGCCTCCATCACTCTCCGTGGCGGTCGTGGGAGGTTGTCCTCACCATACCTCACCACGTTGGTCAGTTCGGGGGGTGGGTGAAGGCAGGGGACCGGTTTGCGATGTCCCTCGCCGACGATGTTCGCCGTGGTTCGGAATCGAACTCAGGTGGCCGAGTTCGCAGGGCAGCGCGCTGACCACTGCTCTACCATGGTCGCTCACTCGCGTTAAGGCTTTCGGAAGGGCATCCATTCGAGTGAGCCCAAGAGAGCCCCTCTAGGGGGTGTCGTTGGCCTACTCTTCCACTCCTTTGCGTAATTCTCGGCCAGCATCTCGCTCAGCATCTCTCTTACCCGCCCCCCTGGTGGACGTCCGTGAAAAAGAGGTTAATCGCTCGTCGGACTCCTCCCGTCTAAGCAAAGATTCTGATTCACTGGCCGGACGGCGAGGAGGAGGCGGTGGTAGTTACCCACACTTTACCCCACCACGCGCGACATGCCCACCGTCGACTAACTGTGTCGTGACCCCAGGCGGGGGTCGGTTCGGTAACTTGGTCGCCTCGTTTCAACTGCTGCACCGGAAGATGGAATTCAAAGCAGTCACCTCTGGATGGCAATTCCGGTGTGGCAACGGCTACGTCACGGCAGCATCCCCACATTGCGGGAGAGACGCAGAATGCACGGGCTGCAGACAGAGGAGTTGGCAGGGGCCCTGATCACGCCGGGATTGGGTGGGGGGGAGCGATGTTTTCCATCAAAATCTGCCTCCGCTGCTTGCCCCCTCGGGACGGGAGCGAGTGCCTGGGATGGATTTTGCGATGAAGCAGATGTCTCCTCGTCATCCTCATCATCATCCTCCTCCTCCTCGTGTTCCTCCCTCCTCCCTCCTCCTTCCATGCGTTGGCCGTGCCAACAACGCAAGCGTGAGAAGCCACGGGAAGAGCGAGCGAGCGAGCGAGGGGGCCGAGAGAGCCTGGCGAGGGATGAATGTAGGCGGCGTTGTGGATCGGGAAAGCCGCCCTTCCCCGCAGGCTCAGCGGTGCCGGTGTGCCCACGTGCCCCGCAAGACGCGCTCGGGGCTCTATTTGTGTTGGGGGCTGCCGCGGTGGGTTGGCGGGGTGATGGTCAGTCGGCACCCTGGGCACCGTCTTAACATCACGCCGGGGTATTGAAACGGCGCTTCCGATGAGCGCGATTGGCTACGTGCGGTGCGAAAGAAGTTCAACACACGCGTGCACACACACACACGCGTGCACGCACACACACACACGCGTGCATGCACACACACACACGCGTGCATGCACACACACACGCGTGCACACACACGCGTGCATGCACACACACGCGTGCATGCACACACACACACGCGTGCATGCACACACACACGCGTGCACACACACATGCGTGCATGCACACACACATACACACACGTGCATGCACACACACACACACGCGTTGCGCAGTGCTGTCCCCGCCCCCCCCCCCCCCCCCCCCCCCCCCCCCCCCCCCCCCCCCCCCCCCCCCCCCCCCCCCCGAACCTGGCACATTTAACACGCGGCGGCGAAAAGCGACGATGTTCGACGTTCAGCTCAAGGCGAGGGGAGCAGATTAAAAAAAAAAGTCACCTGATGGCTTTGGGGTGGTGGAGCCGGTGCCAGCTGCTGGCACAGCGGTGGCGATGGCAGCGGCGGTGGCAGCGGCGGCGGCGGCGGCGGCGGCTCGCCCCGGGGTTGGCGCCGCACGCGGCGGCGCGGGAGGAGCGGCGGCACGAGGCTGCGGCTGGGCCGGGGGAACGCGCGGGGCTCCCCTCTCGGCCGCCCGGCGCGATGCGCCCCCCTCGCCCAGGATCTCGTTGGTCGAGATTTTGTGCGCCGAATGTTTGTAGGCGAAGGACGGCGGCTGAAAGGCGTCCGGGAGAGGGGGCGGCGAGGGGGGCGGGTGGCCGGGGGGGGGGGTGTCGAGGCTCGTTAAAGCGCACGGCCGTGGCCACGGTTCGCACATCATCATGATCATCAGCATCACCGTCATCATCATCACCATCATCTCAAACACCGGCATCATCATTACCATCATCACTATCATCACCATCATCATCACTATCATCACAAACAACGGCATCATCATTGCCATCATCACCATCATCATCACCGTTCGTGGCCACCATTCATGGCCACCATTCGTGGCCACCATTCGTGGCCACCGTTCGTGGCCACCGCTCGTGGCCACCGCTCGTGTGAGATATTGGGATGGGGGTGCGACGCTACTTCACTGGGGGTGGGGGGGGGTTCGGGCGCTTGTACCTCGGGTTGGAGGGGGGGCAATGCCCCCCCGGGATGAGCCGGGGGGCACGGCGGAGTGAGGGGGGTCCCTCCGTCGACGCACGGAGGAGTGTGGCGTGGTCGGCACAGCTCCTCCAGGCGGGAGATGGTGGCCGTCTGGTTGGTCACCACGGCGGTGAGCGCGGCGAACCTGCGGCGGTGGTGGCGGTGGTGGCGATGGTAGCAGTGGTGGCGGTGAGGGTGGTGAGGGCACCACGCGTAACCGCGGCGCGGTGAGGACTCGGCACCAGCCCAACCGCGGCGCGTCACTACAGCAGCTCCTCACCACCACCACCACCAGCACAGCACCACCAGCACAGCACCACCAAAAACCCACCACCACCACTACCAGCACCACCAGTACAACACCAGCACAGCACCACCAAAAACCTATCACTACCACCAGCGCAACCAACACCAGCACGAGCGCCAGCAGTACAACACCAGCACAGCACCACCAAAAACCCACCACCACCAGCAGCGCCACCAGCACAGCACCAGCAACGCACCGGCGCTGCAGCTCGTGGTAGCTGGCGAGCAGGCGCAGGGTGTCGGCCGTCTGGTTGAGGATTCGCGTCTCGAGCTGCGCGGCGTCCAGGGCGCCGTCGCGCTTGCGGATCATCTCGTGGAGCAGCTGCGCGTAGAGCGCCGTGACGCGCGCGTTCGTGTTGTGGCTCTCCTTGCGCAGCAGCTTCACCTCGCTCACCAGGCCGCCGTCAACCTCCACCAGCTGTTGCAGCGCCGTGATCTGCCGCCCGTGGCGACGCAGCTCGTCTCGCAGATTTCCGAGCTCCGAGCGACAGGCGCCGCCGGCGCTCCAATTCCCGGGCGGCGATGACGGCGGCTGCCCGGGCGCACGCGGCGGTCGAGGGTTACCGTCGTGGGGCGTTTTGGGGAAACGATAAAGCCAGCAACAAAAAAGCAACAATTCAGCGAATCGTGCGTAGATTTTTGTTTTGTCAACGTTTAGCGATGCGTCCGCAAGCCGTCGCGGAAACGGGGTCGCGCTTGGCGTGACGAGTCTCGGGTGGCGCGAGTTGGAATCGCGAACGAAGCGGTCGCACCGCGGGAAAAGAATTCGCGTCGTTTCGTCCCCGCCGCCGGAGCCACTTTGGTCAACGCCGACCGCGTCATGGCCACGCGGGCCACGTGGACCACGCGGGCCACGCGGGCCACGCGGGCCCCTCGCGCGGTCGGTAGCGCCGCCCGTCAGCTGTGCCAAGGCTCCTCCAGCAGCCGATAACAAACGAGAAACGGCGACGACGAGAGGAGACGGAGGGAAGGCGCGAGTCCAGGGCAGGAGGATCGCTTCTCGAACGAATGGAGCGCGAGGCGCGGCTGTGCGTTGCCGTTTGGGATTTGAATCTCTGCGCGCTCACCGACGAGGAGGAGGAGGAGGATGAGGTGGTGCCGCTCTCGCGCACGCACACGGGCCCCGGCGGGGCGCTGGACGGCACCACGAAGGTGTAGGAGCAGCGGCCCACGGCCTCACCGCCACCGCCAGCAGCAGCAGCAGCAGCAGCCAACATCACGGGGATGTCGACCGCACGCGCCGACCTGTTGGCGAGAGTGCCGCTTGTCGGGTGTGTCGGGTGTGCGTGTCAACAAGTCAAGTCAGCTTTATTAATCACATACCCATGCACACATGCGCTGCATGGCAGTGAGAGTCTTTGGCTCTCTCTCAGCTTGCGCAAATTAACACCAACAATGTGAACAGCAGCAACAATATTTTAAAATATATTTTGTTAATATATTAAAGACGAAGTAACATCGCTGTGCAGATGATAAAGTGACATGTGCATAGGAGAAATAGGGTCGCCTGCGGGTGAGTTTTATAAACGATCTTGTTATAGTTTAGTTATGCGCGTGAAGTTCTGGGGGAGCGGTGGCGCACTGGTTGGCGCTGCACTGCGCTACGAACCCGGCCACGATCCGAGTCCGATTCACGCTCACGATCAATAGCGGTGGTGATGGCGAATATTTTTGAACCGGTTCTGGGCCCTCCCGGTGCGTTGTGTAATAATCAAAGGCGGCCGGGCGTGGTGCTGGTCACCCCCCCCCCCCCCCCCCCCTCGCGTGCCGTGCTGTTCGCTAACAACACTCGCCTCAACAGTCTGTCAAGGCTATATGGGGGATCTTTGTTAAGTTAAAGTGGATGGAGTGGTGGTGACGCGTTTAGCTCACTGCGCTATAAACTTGACAAGCTGAGTTTGCTTTCTGACCACTACCAATATCAGTGACCAGTTATTTTGAAACACGGTCCTGGGCCTCTCCTAGGTCGACTCAGTCTAAAATGAGCACTTAAACTACCAGGTAAGGCCCACTAAACAACGTAGCTATTTTTCAGAAGCGACCTGGCCACAAATAATAGCCCAGCAAAATGTATTATCATGTGGAAATGTATCGCAGCCAAATACCCTAAACGCGTGTTGTTGATTCTAAATGTGGAGAGAAAAACCCGGAGGATCCGGAGAAAAATCTTCGCGAACACGGGGAGAGAGACACGCAAAGTCCAAATATTCAGCAGGCGTCAGGGTCGGGATCGAACCCACGACCTCCTGTATACCAGGCGAGGTAGTTAACATCTCATAGCCACCGTGATGATGATGAGAGAGAGAGACACCGCTAACTCCAAATATACAGCAGGCGTCAGGGTCGGGAACGAACTCACGACCTCCTGTATACCAGGCGAGGTAGTTAACATCTCATAACCACCGTGCTGATGAGAGAGAGACACGCAAATCCCAAATATACAACAGGCGTCAGGGTCGGGATCGAACCCACGACCTCCTGTATACCAGGCGAGGTAGTTAACATCTCATAACCACCGTGCTGATGAGAGAGAGACACGCAAAGCCCAAATATACAGCAGGCGTCAGGGTCGGGATCGAACCCACGACCTCCTGTATACCAGGCGAGGTGGTCAACATCTCATAGCCACCGCGGCGCCAGGTCACTGTTTTGCGGAACGAGACTCGGTCCCACCCATTCCTCCAGAGTTCGCACCCGCACGACGTTCGAACGGACGCGCGCGTGAACCTCACCTGCCGCGCGGTTTGCGTCTCTCGCCTTGAGTCTCGGCGCGGGGCGAAGCGGCGAGGAGCAGCAGCAGTGTCACGAGGAGCACCAGCGCCGGCTCCGCCATCGTCCGGATTCCCCGTGGTTCACGAGACAGGGACACACAGCGGTGGTTGACGGTATGCGCGTCTTTAGTTGACCGCCCGCACGGCGACGATGTCCCGCGGCCTGCGGAGAGCCACGTGGACGGGAGATTCGCCGTCACGTGCGGCGGTTGCCATTGGGTGGCTTCGTCTGGGAGTTGGCGGGTTGCAGATACACCCACTCGCCCACGAACCCCCGGTCCCGCTCACACCACACACCGACTCGCTTATTCACTCAGCCACTCACTCAGTCACTCACCTATTCACTCACGCACGCACCCACCCAGTTACCCATCCACCCACCTACTCACACACGCACCCACTCAGTCACCCAGCCACCCACCTACTCACACACGCACCCACTCAGTCACCCAGCCACCCACCTACTCACACACGCACCGACTCAGTCACCCACCCACCCACGTACTCACACACGCACCCATCCAGTCACCCACCCACCTACTCACACACGCACCCACACACCCAGTCACCCACCTACTCACACACGCACCCACCCACCCAGTCACCCACCCACCTACTCACACACGCACCCACTCAGTCACCCACCCACCTACTCACACACGCACCCACCCAGTCACCCACCTATCCACTCACACACGCACCCACACACCCAGTCACCCACATACTCACACACGCACCCACACACCCGTGCATCCACTGCCTTCGCTGTTATATTTGTAGCGGAGCGAAGTTCTACGCTCCATGGTTTAGTGTTCATGACCGCACTTGCACACCGCAGTGTCCAATTTCCCACGCGTGCACCAGGTGTCCTTATCTTCACAAACAGCCATCGATCTCAGTCAGCCTCGCTTCATCAACGCTGAGCAGCGCACTGCTGCGACACAGTTCAACACGGCAATAGCGGCACCAGGTCTCGGCACAAAGTCCATCCCTGTCCTCCGAACTGTCTGAGTCAAAACCTGGACAGGTGACGGACGCTACTGGGGACACGACGGCAACTCTCTATTTTGCTCGAATCCTTAAGGCTTCGTGGCGTGGGACTTAGAGGAGGGGGGAGAACAGGAGGAGTGGGGGGGGGGGGGGGATAGAGGAGGGGGGAGAACAGGAGGGGGGAGGATAGAGGAGGGGGGAGAACAGGAGGAGTGGGGGAGGATAGAGGAGGGGGGAGAACAGGAGGGGGGGGGGAGGATGGAGGAGGGGGGGGAGGATAGAGGAGGGGGAAGAACAGGAGGGGGGAGGATAGAGGAGGGGGGAGAACAGGAGGGGGATGGAGGAGCGGGGGGGGGGGGGGGGCTGGATTCGTGCAGCTTGCCCGGCGGTTCCGCAACTGCGGTCGTCTCAGAGCCAGGCAGAGCTCTTGCGGAGGTCGACGGATTACACCGCCAGCTTCCCACGTGAGCCGCGTCTCACGGGAGCCGCGTGTCACGGGAGCCGCTTCCCACGTGAGCCGCGTCTCACGGGAGCCGCGTCTAACGCGAGCCGCGTCTCACGGCCGCTCGGCCCAGACCGTATCCGCTCGGGCTGGTCGCAAGGTGGAGCTCAGAATATAATTCGAACAAGTCCAGAAAGTCGGACGTTCCGTCCGTGTTGTTTTCTTCTTCTCATTTTTTTTTTAAAAGATGAAAGCGCTTTCCATTTCTGCTGCTTCCCTCGCTACTGCTCGAGTCAGTACCTTTCCTCGCTCGCCGGCGGCCCAGTTGCTTGCTCATCGCTCTTATATCGCTGCTACAATGCGGTGGCTGTCCCCGTGAGCTCCGCTCGTTGATTCCTCCAACCCACATCGAGTCTACCAGACACTCAATGAGTCGTCTCATCCACCGCACTTTGTTCAACCCACCACCCTGCAGGTCACACAAAAAAAAAACACTCACTCGCCCATTCACTCACTCACTCACTCGTCCCAATGCAGCCGCCATTCGTCAATAAGTGATGGTTACGTCACCACGGCGCCCGTGCCAGGCCAAGTGCACTTTGAGACTACGTGAAGCGTCGAAGGCTCGTTGACAGGAGGTCTCGGGACCGACCCTGCAGGTGCCATGGGTTGGCTGACTGAGATGACTGGAAGATGCACCAGCTATACCCACTACTGTGCCAACCTGCTGCATTTTATCCGCCCGGCGCTCCGAGCGTTGTTGTGAGCGTCGCTCCTCTGCGCTCCGTTGTTTCTGGAGGGCGACTGCCTCCAATTGCCCAGTAGCAGCGTCCTTCACGAGCCTCCTCCATAAAGGCAGATCCTGACACCGCTGGTACCAGTCATTGGCAAGTCCACTCAGCTCCACATCCCCCCATACGGCATCAGTTCATCTCTTCTCCAGCCTATGTCGTGCCCATTTATGTAGCTCAATCTATGCAGCCAAGCAAAAGCTGCTTGGGAATGCGGTAGCTGGGCATGCGGGCTACAACCAACGCAGCCTTGCCTGCCGGAAGAACTAACTGATGGGAATGTGTCCAGATCTTTCAAGGATTTGTGAACTCCTAACACAATCCAGCCTGGATAAACCCAGGATGGATCGGAGGCATGCCAGCCTGAATGTTTCCAACCGGCGCAGACGTTCCATGAGAGGGGTCCACGTTTCACAAGCGTAGAGAAGGGAGGGTATGACTGTGGATGAGAAGATCCGAAGCTTCCACGCAGCATTGCGCAGCCGATGAAAAGATAATGCCGCCCGACTGATTTGGAGTGAGACCTCTGCTGTCAAGCCGGAGCTGGTTGTAAGCACACTCACCCACTCGCTCACTCACCCACTCGCTCACTCACCACCCTCCAGGTCAAAATTCACTCACCCACCCACTCACTCACCCACTCCACGACTCACCACCCTGCATGTCACAAATACTAATAACACACTCACTCACCCCACTGCACGTCACAATAACACACTCACTCACCACACTGCACGTCACAATAACCCACTCACTCACCCACTCACCACACTGCACGTCACAATAACACACTCACTCACCACACTGCACGTCACAATAACCCACTCACTCACCCACTCACCACACCGCAGGTCACACAACACACTCACTCACCCACTCAGTCACCCACTCACCACACCGCAGGTCACACAACACACTCACTCACCCACTTCGTCACCCACTCACCACACCGCAGGTCACACAACACACTCACTCACCCACTCAGTCACCCACTCACCACACCGCAGGTCACACAACACACTCACTCACCCACTTCGTCACCCACTCACCACACCGCAGGTCACACAACACACTCACTCACCCACTCAGTCACCCACTCACCACACCGCAGGTCACACAACACACTCACTCACCCACTCAGTCACCCACTCACCACACCGCAGGTCACACAACACACTCACTCACCCACTCAGTCACCCACTCACCACACCGCAGGTCACACAACACACTCACTCACCCACTCAGTCACCCACTCACCACACCGCAGGTCACACAACACACTCACTCACCCACTCAGTCACCCACTCACCACACCGCAGGTCACACAACACAGGGTCTCTTTCTCAGCTTCTTCGCTCGCACTGCTCCACTCTGGTATCCCCTCCTCCCATCATCGCCTCGTTTTCCAAGTTCACATAACTTGTCAGTTCAATAAAAGGAATTAACGCTCGGAGGCTATAACTGCAATCGTGCAGTTTGCAAGCTGGCTGCTAAGCGTCTGTCCGGTTCACGTGGCCCTGGTCATGGGCAGCAATTAATAACAAAAAAATCGCACCCGGCACACCACATCGAGTATCGGATTCGTCATGGCATGTGGCCCAATACGAGTTAACCAGCCATCCGCTCCAGTCTACCAGCAAGCCGGAAACTATCCGCAGCTAAATTACGCCGTGCATTCGCTATTCCGTGACCTTGCACCGTTAACAATAACACCACTGATTGTGTAGTACAAGACGTCCATCTGTTACGTGTAGCCACCACTGCGTGTGGCTCGTCAACAGTGGCCACGTTCACACGAGGACGATATTGGTTGTGTGGTCTGGGAGAATTCCTGTAATGTCTGAATGACTCTATGAGTGACTACCCGTCCATTTCCCTCTCTCTCTCTCTCCGTGCAACGAACATGACCACTGTTCCTGTGCAGCGTCTTGAGATGCAATCACAGTGAGATGTGAATCCACATTGCATACTCACATCGAGACCCATAAACGCACACATACCCATAGATTCACACAGACATCCATAGACTTACACTGATACCTACAGACCCACACAGAGATCCACAGACTGACATAGAGCCCCACAGAATTACACAGAGACCCACAGACTCACACAGAGACCAACATCCTCACACAGAGACCGATAGACTCACATAGAGACCCACAGACCCGCATAGAGACCCACGACTAACTGCCTCTCTGCAGGCGATACATGGATTATTTATGGTCAACCAACTCCAGTTACTGACACGACGTGGGGAGGCGTTCATCAAGCAGTGGGTCGAGAAAGGGCTGAATAATGATGTCACTGGGTCTTTAACGTTAATTTTAAATGTAATTGGCCAAACATCGCCGGTGCATCACAGAGCGTCTCGAGACTCGCGTTGGCTTCCCTCGCAATTGCAACCGACTTATAAATACATTTTTTTTAGATTTTACAGAACATTGCCCAACTCGAACGAGATAATCTTACAATACCGAAAAAAATCGCAAAGTACAACCCTTTGTGACTCGGTCCATTGGGGTCGTTTGACCATACTTCACCACGCAGGTCGGTGAGGCTCAACGACAGTGGCGACCTGGAACGAACCGCATCAGACACGACTCGCCACTGACGCTAGCCGTGGCCGGGAGTTAAAACTCCATAAGGGTCGCCGGCGTCCGTAACGCAGCGCGCTCACCACTGCGCCACCGCTCAAATCGCGTGAGACGACATTGACGAAGGGGGAGAGAGCGAGCGAGCGAGCGGGCGAGCGATGGTGGAACGTGTGGAAGGAACGTGGATGCGGATACCTCGGCGTCTCGAGCTGCTCACTGGAGTGGCTGCATCAGATGTCCTGTCCGCTTTAATCCTCGCTCCGCGGCTGAAAGATGAAACCTCCACATAGGCTGCTGCTGTCTTTGTGATGCTGTCCGCGTTTGTATTGAGCAGCGTGCAGTCTTTGGCGCGTGCTATAAGAGACAGAGAGATATATCTCTCTCTCTCGCTCTCTCTCTCGTACGAGCCGAGATTTGCTGCCAGTATTATTGTTATTCAGAGCTGTATCCGCCGTTTAACAAAAAAGCTAATTGATGGCCCAACACACGAAAAAAATTAGAATTAAAAACCTCGGGAGGTTTTTAAAAAAAAATTCTCAACGTTAAATGTTCAATTTCGACAACGACGACGAGATAAATGTTGGAGAGGGACAGAGAAAGTGAGCGTAGCAACAACACCGCCAGCACGTGGGAGGCGTTTGTTTGTAGTCTGCCAAACGGGTGGAGATGTCACCGATTTGCAGAGCGCGACTCAGCAGCAGCAAGCAGCAGCGAGCAGCAGGAAGCAGCAGCGAGCAGCAGTAAGCAGCAGGAAGCAGCAGCGAGCAGCAGGGAGCAGCAGGAAGCAGCAGCAAGCAGCAGGAAGCAGCAGCAAGCAGCAGCAAGCAGCAGGAAGCAGCAGGAAGCAGCAGGAAGCAGCAGGGAACAGCAGGGAGCAGCAGGGAGCAGCAGGAAGCAGCAGCGAGCAGCAGGGAGCAGCAGGGAGCAGCAGGAAGCAGCAGGAAGCAGCAGCGAGCAGCAGCAAGCAGCAGGGAGCAGCAGGAAGCAGCAGGAAGCAGCAGCCGCGGGCACAGAAAGAGATCGGGCGCGACCGGCCAGATTGTGGGGAGAGGTGAGCTGGTGGTGAGCTGGTGGTGAGCTGGTGGTGAGCTGCTGCTGCTGCTGGTGGTGGTGGTGAGTAAACCAGCACGTGTGTGGGAGTGATGTCTTCCTGCCGGGTGCCGCCTCCGACTCAACATTAATCCGAAGCAGCGGTCATTTCTGCTCCCCCCACCCACCATCTCTCTCCCTCAGATCCCTCCCTCCACCACCATCAAGCAGCCTTCAAACTCAACTCCCCCACCCACGCGCTACCAGCCTCTCCTCCTCTAACTTACAACGCCGTCCTGCTGGTTCACAACCTCACGTCTCCCTCCTCTTCCTCCTCCTCCTCCTCGCCCTGCTTGGAACCCACCCACACAGCCATGCATTCACACTTCGGTGAATGCACTCACAAGTCGCATAACACCACGCACTGCCCCCCCCCCTACACACACCACACACACGTGGTGGTGGTTGTGGGTATTACACTGCACGTGACTGCCCATCATCCAGCGATGCGGAGGGTTGGTGAATCACCGCACGAATGTTCCGAAACTCCCCTTCCCGTGTGGGGGGGGGGGGGGGGGGGGAGGAGGAGCCATGCCCTGTGCTCCCCGGGAGAAGGCGCTACAGCGAGTGGACCAATCGCCATCAGTCTGCTACAAATTACGGGGATCGAGCGTTGCCCCATCGCGGAGCGTGCTGGCACGCGTTGGGGGTTGGGGGGTTGCTGCGGTCTCGTCCTCCCCACGCGAACAACAAACGCGACTCCGTCGTTCGTTTGTGTGATAACGTTGGCAACTATAAGAAAATCGAAGGCGGCAGGAACCCCTGTCTTTCCTCGATAAATAAGTCAATCGTAATGAGTACAGTGAGAGAAAAACGTATTTGATACCCTGCTGATTTTGTACGTTTGCCCACTGACAAAGAAATGATCAGTCTATAATTTTAATGGTAGGTTTATTTGAACAGTGAGAGACAGAATAACAACAACAAAATCCAGAAAAACGCATGTCAAAAATGTTATAAATTGATTTGCATTTTAATGAGGGAAATAAGTATTTGACCCCTCTGCAAAACATGACATAGTACTTGGTGGCAAAACCCTTGTTGGCAATCACAGAGGTCAGACGTTTCTTGTAGTTGGCCACCAGGTTTGCACACATCTCAGGAGGGATTTTGTCCCACTCCTCTTTGCAGATCTTCTCCAAGTCATTAAGGTTTCGATGCTGATGTTTGGTAACTCGAACCTTCAGCTCCCTCCACAGATTTTCTATGGGATTAAGGTCTGGAGACTGGCTAGGCCACTCCAGGACCTTAATGTGCTTCTTCTTGAGCCACTCCTTTGTTGCCTTGGCCGTGTGTTTTGGGTCATTGTCATGCTGGAATACTCATCCACGACCCATTTTCAATGCCCTGGCTGAGGTAAGGAGGTTCTCACCCAAGATTTGACGGTACATGGTCCCGCCCATCGTCCCTTTGATGCGGTGAAGTTGTCCTGTCCCCTGAGCAGAAAAACACCCCTCAAAGCATAATGTTTCCACCTACATGTTTGACGGTGGGGATGTTGTTCTTGAGGTCATAGGCAGCATTCCTCCTCCTCCAAATACGGCGAGTTGAGTTGATGCCAAAGAGCTCCATTGTGGTCTCATCTGACCACAACACCTTCACCCAGTTGTCCTCTGAATCATTCAGATGTTCATTGGCAAACTTCAGACGGGCATGAATATGTGCTTTCTTGAGCAGGGGGACCTTGCGGGCGCTGCAGGATTTCAGTCCTTCACGGCATAGTGTGTTACCAATTGTTTTCTTGGTCACTTTGGTCCCAGCTGCCTTGAGATCATTGACAAGATCCTCCCATGTAGTTCTGGGCTGATTCCTCACCGTTCTCATGATCATTGCAACTCCACAAGGTGAGATCTTGCATGGAGCCCCAGGCCGAGGGAGATTGACAGTTCTTTAGTGTTTCTTCCATTTGCGAATAATCGCACCAACTGTTTCACCTTCTCACCAAGCTGCTTGGCAATGGTCTTGTAGCCCATTCCAGCCTTGTGTAGGTCTACAATCTTGTCCCTGACATCCTTGGAGAGCTCTTTGGTCTTGGCCACGGTGGAGAGTTTGGAATCTGATTGATTGCTTCTGTGGACAGGTGTCTTTTATACAGGTAACAAGCTGAGATTAGGAGCACTCCCTTTAAGAGTGTGCTCCTAATCTTAGCTCATTACCTGTATAAAAGACACCTGGGAGACAGAAATCTTTCTGATTGAGAGGGGGCCAAATACTTATTTACCTCATTAAAATGCAAATCAATTTATAAAATTTTTGACATGCGTTTTTCTGGATTTTTTTGTTGTTATTCTGTCTCTCACTGTTCAAATATACCTACCATTAAAAATATAGACTGATCAATTCTTTGTCAGTGGGAAACGTACATAATCAGCAGGGGATCAAATACTTTTTTCCCTCACTGTAAATGAATGCACTATTATTATTAGACACACACACGTGGACGGACGTACTGGCGTGACTTGACTCGCATGGAGGAGGCCGGTGCCCTCTGCAGACGCACGCGTCTGACACGAGGCCACGGCCGCGGGGAAGAGGCGCCTCATCCAGTAGCGGAGTGGCCCAGAGTGAGAATATTCATTCACGCAGGAGGAATCCGATGAGCTGCCAAGCTCTTTCGTCACAGACGTCCAGGTGACCCGAAGTGGTGGTGGTGGGGGTGGGGGGGGGGGTGGTGGCGACACGGGGGGGGGGAGGGGTGGGTTGAACTTCGCGAGCGTTCGGCTCGGGCGAGCGGCACACCACGTCCAGTATGCCTCGCCTCGCCGTGGCTGCGGTGACTGCTGGTCGCGTGCCACCTACTCCTGTTTTACGAGCGACGGGAAACACATTTACGCACCCGGCACACCGCATCCAGTATACCTATCGCTGTGGTTGTGGCTCTATATGTACACGAGTGTCAATGCACACGCACACTTGTGTGTGTGTTAACACACGTGTGCGTGTGTGTTGACACGTGTGCGTGTGTGTTAACACGTGTGCGTGTGTGTTAACACGTGTGTATCAACACATCTGTGTGTCTGTATTAACACTGGTGTGAGTGTGTGTATTGACACGTGTGTGTGTGTTACACATGTATCAACACACGCGCCTATATTAACACCGGTGTGTGTGTGTTTACACATGTGTGTCTGTTTACACGTGTGTGTGTGTATTTAAACATGGTGCTGGCCATCTACCCCCTCGTGTGCCGTGCCAGCCCTTATAGGTACTCGCTAACAGCACTTGCCCCAACAGTCTGCGAAGGCTATGCGGTTGATCTTTGTCTTTGTTGCATTTACTCGTGTGTGTATTTACTCGTGTGCATGTGTGTGTGTGTTTACATGTGTGTGTGTTTACATGTGTGTGTGTTTACATGTGTGTGTGTTTACATGTGTGTGTGTTTACATGTGTGTGTGTTTACATGTGTGTGTGTGTTTACATGTGTGTGTGTTTACATGTGTGTGTGTTTACATGTGTGTTTACATGTGTGTGTTTACATGTGTGTTTACATGTGTGTGTGTTTACATGTGTGTGTGTTTACATGTGTGTGTGTTTACATGTGTGTGTGTATGTCTTGACACATGCAGAGCCACTTACGACGGAGCCAGACCTCGGCGCTTTCAGCTGCCAAATCTTTCCACCAGAGAGATGCTGATGCCAAGACAACTCCATCTGGACTGCATCTTGCCCAAGCTGCTGGCTATCTGCAAACTTGTGCATAGCCACATGCAATGCCTTTTATATTATATGCGTATAAATATACATCGACGACTGCGTGGTGGTTTTATATCCTACTGTGAGTCGAGCCATCCTTACATTCATTCGCACCACTGCCAAGCTATGCAACATTCTACCAGGCATTAATCTATTCATTCATCCACCCATTCATTCATCTATGCACCCACCCATGCACTAACGTATATTTTCCTCCACCTACTCAAGCATCCATCTGTCAACCCACCCACCCGCTCATTAATTCATCCACAGGCTCACCCACTCAAGCATCCAACCACAGATTCGTTCATATATCCACCCACGCATGAATTAATTATATTAATTAATTACTTAATGAATTCACCCGCTATCCATCTACCAAATCCCCCCCCCCCCTCGCCGCATACTCTCACCTGCCCATCCACCAACTCATCTCCCACACCCACCACCCATCTGCCCATCCACCCACCCACCGACACACCCACTCATCCATCACCCATCCATCCCACCGTCAAACCAATACAAACTTTCCATCCACCCGTGCATCAACTCATCCATCATCCGTGGACGCGCCCCGCCCGTTCACTCCGCAGCTCCGCCCATCCGCGTCAATCGACGCCGTCTCCCGTTTCACGAGGGACCACGGGGGGGGAGGTGCTGGGGTCGCCCTCTCCCGTTACGCACCGAGGCCTCCGGCAGGGACCCGCGGCACCTGCCCGTAACCCCCCCCCCCCACCCATCGCGCCCCCCACGCTGCCCTCGAGACGCCGTCGCTGCCCCGACCTCTGTGGCTTGGTTGGGACTTTAGGTCAGGGCTGTGGGGCTTCGCAGTGCTGAGGGCGTGAGATGAGAGTTGACTCGGCCACTTCATCGTCATCATCGCCATTGTTATTATCATCATCATCGTCGTGTCATCATCGTTGTTATCATCATCGTTGTCATCATCATCATCGTGATCATCATCGTGATCATCATCGTTGTCATCATCATCATGATCATCATCGTATCATCATCGTTGTCATTATCATCATGATCATCATCATATCGTGATCATCATCGTGTCATCATCGTTGTCATCATCATCATCATCGTGTAATCATCGTTTTCGTCATCATCACCATCGTGATCATTATCGTGTCATCATCGTTGTCATCATCATCATGATCATCGTGTCATCATCGTTGTCATCATCATCATCATCATCGTGTCATCATCGTTGTCATTATCATCATGATCATCATCATATCGTGATCATCGTGTCATCATCGTTGTCATCATCATCGTGTCATCATCGTTTTCGTCATCATCATCATCGTGATCATTATCGTGTCATCATCGTTGTCATCATCATCGTTGTCATCATCATCGTGATCATCATGATCGTGTCATCATCATCATCGTTATCATCATCATCATCACCATCATCGTGATCATCATCGTGTCATCATCGTTGTCATTATCATCGTGATCATCATCGTGTCATCAACGTTGTCATCATCGTGTCATCATCGTTGTCATCATCATCATCGTGATCATTATCGTGTCATGATCGTTGTCATCATCATCGTGTCATCATCGTTGTCATCATCATCATCGTGATCGTCATCATCGTGGTCATCGTCATCTTCCCACTTTGTTCGGTAAAACAAGCCGGGTGAGACTGGTCCAATTAGTTTAAAATCTATGATTGTGGCTGGACTCATCCTTGTTAGAGGAATGCGTCATTTCCACAAATGCGTCCCTTATCTTCGGCAGCAATGAACCCACTCCCCCACGCTCGTCGTTCTCAACCCACGTGTGGGCCCACAGGCTGCAGTGCGGCGAACACCGCCGTTGTACCGTACTCCTATGTTCCCACGTCTACGCTCCCCGGCCGACCAGCGCGGTGAAGTATGGTCAAACGACCAGCGCGGTGAAGTATGGTCAAACGACCCCCGCGGCCCACATGGACGCGGCTGCGGAGGCCGTCACCCAACAGTCGATTTGACAAAAGGTGCCCGCACCAGTGCCGGATGATCCTAGTAGCACAAGTAGCTACATTTTGATTTAAAGCTTTCGTGACTGCAGGGATTAATATTCTTGCTTCTTTCGGTAAAGTCACGTAGAAGGGAAACAATAAAATAAAATAAATAAAAATATATAAAACAATAAAATTCTCACGACGTTTCGACTGCAACATAAGCAATCATCATCAGGTGTGAAAACCACAGCAAGAAATTTTGAAAAAAGTGGCGGTTATTTTTTACGTTAGCACCACGGAGAGAGATTTGACAGTTTGTTCAGATGGACGAGTCCATCTATGTTCAGAAAAGAGGAGGGGGGAGACGAAAAATAATGGATGCGGTCTGAAAGCCACCTTAAGCGTGATCAATCAATTAAGACCCGAAATGGTTTATCAAATCTTTCCAATGATTGCTAAGCCAGAATCCATCTTCTCGGTTAAAATTGTCTCTGTGTTTGTATATGTGGATAGCCTCATGAACGAATCTCTCATGGTAGCCAGATGGATTGCAAATAACCTCTGTCTTGGAGAAGTCAATGTCATGTGAGCCTACTGAATTATAACAGTGATCTGCCACGGCCGAGGTGTTGATCCTACCGTGTTTCAGGTCTGCTTTGTGTTCACGAATGCGGTCCGAGACATGTCGTTTGGTTTCTCCAATGTAACTACTACCACAGAGGCAACTTAGTTTGTAGACGCCAGGGTACTGTATGTCAGGAATCACATATTTTACAGACGGAATCAGATCACGGATGTTATGTAATGTGTTGAATCGGACCTGGATCTTTTGTTTATTCAAGATTTTGGAGATTTGTTTTGTGATCCCCGCAATGTAGGGTAAAGTGTATGTGTTGCCTCCCAAGAAGTTGTGTGTGCACAGTATTCGAATCCACTAAATATGTAACTACAGGCCCCGCACTTTCAACGGCCCCGCGCTAAATGCTTTCAAGCTATCAATTCCGGTTCAGTAATTCTGCACTTGCTCTATTACTATAGTACTATACTGCCTTCAACGTTTATGAACGACTGGGTGTTTAAGGTTAGCGATTTGTCGTATTATCTGGCTGTATGGCAAATGAAAAAATACAATTACTTTATTATGCAAGTTCCAAATTTGTGTTTTAATATTTGCGTGTTTTTTTTGTTTTATTTAGGGCCCCTTTATAACAACATATGATAAGGGCCCGCACTCGCTTCATCCGGCACGCGTGTAGAGTGAGCGCGAGAAGACGGGCTGTGTAAGATTAAGCGCACACATCTGCCGGGAATTACATCCCTAATGGACGCATCTAATGAAGGCGCCTCTGCTTGGAGTGAGGTCACTTGAAGGCGCCCGCTGCAAGGGAGAGGGGAGAGAGGGAGGGTTGAGAGAGGAAGTGAAATCACGGCCTGGGACGAGTGCTCAGAGCCATCACCCCACTCTCTGCTGAGCGTTTTGCCTTATTAAAATTTCTCCTCAATGCCGGTGCATTTCCTCCTGCACGTTGTCATCCTGGCCACCGCTTTGTTCTTCTCAGTGTGGTGGAGCTTGCGAGTGTGTGTGCGTGTGTGTACGTGCCGTCGTGTGTGCGTGTGCGTGCGTGATTGTTTTTTTTTCTTTGTGCGGTTGTGGGGAGCGGTGATGTAGCGGTTAATGGGCTGCTCCACGAACCAGGCCACACGAGTTCGATTCCCGCTCGCGGCGAACACCGGCGACGGTTATCTGAACCGGTGCTGAGTACCTGGTGAGGTGTCTAGGGAGACAAAAGTGGCCGGGCGTGGTGCTGGCAATCCATCCCTTCGTGTGCCGTGCCGGCCTTCATAGCTGCTGCTCGCTAACAGCACTTGCCCCAACAGGCTATACGGGGGATCTTCGTTGTCTTTGTTGTTGTTGTTGGAGAATGTACGAAATGCTCCCCATCACGAGTCCACGGGTTCCCTCCTTCGGCTGCCGCTAGCCATCGTCCCATGCCCTGCTGCTTAATTTTAAGTCGTCATCATCAAAAGTCCCTAAACTCTGCGCGTGATCTCCGCTCACTTCTATTGCTGTTTCCGCCTCTCCCAGCACGCTTCTCCCCATGCAATTCTCAGGTGTCGACATCACGGCCTATCCACTGCCGGACGAAGATCAATGTGACTGCGTGTGCGGTTGAATCCACGTGTTCCTCTTTCTGTCCATTGGCGTAATTCTCGGCCAGCACCTCGCTCAGCATCTCTCTTGCCCGCCGTCCCTGCTGGACATCCGTGAACAAGAGCTTCGTAGCTCATCGGATTTCTCCAGGATAAATTAAGATTCTGATCCCTTGCCTAGCAGCGCACAGTGCGAGTTTTATAGGCGCGCGCGCGGGGTGAGCTCGGGTAACGGATGTAACCTCATTAGTAAAAACAATATATATGCACGGATGTGAAAAAAACTAAATAAAATTCACCCTCGCGGGCGTGACGACTCCTCTGGAGAATCCGTTTAGAAATGCGCGGCAGTGCACAGCGTAGGGCTGCCGCGATATCATTCTTTGCACGGGTGCAATGGAAAAGGGGCATTGCCCGAAACGTCGCCTCTTATCAACTTTGTTTTTGTTCGTTTTAAGGCCGCAAGGTATTATTGACGGACGTGTATGTATTCATTATGTATTCATTTAGACTCTTTGGTTCTTTCGGTAAAGTCACGTAGGTATAAAATAAATCACGACGTTTCGGGCCCAACACAAGCGTCCGTCAACAACATCACCTGATGACGGACGCTTGTGTTGCGCCCGAAACGTGATTTATTTTATTTTCTACCTACGTGACTTTTCCGAAAGAACCAAAGAGTATGGATTCCTGCAGTCACGAAAGCTTCAAATCAAGAATGTATATATTTCTTCTTTTTTTTTACGATAAGATACGATATAAAATTTCACGCAGTGGCGATTATCACGATATCAAATTTCACGTGGAGGCGATTATCGCGATATCAAATTTCACGTGGAGGCGCACCGCCTGTCACCACCCAGCGCTGCGGAGGCTGCATCGAGCGATGGTGGATCACCGCGCTGATGGGAAGGCGAGAAACTCCCTTCCCGTGGGCGTCGACTGGGAACCGTAGACCCGTCTCGCCAGGAGAAGACGGGGCAGCAGCAAGCAAAATGTCGACTCCGTCTGTTTCGTCTGTACGGGGAAGAAAACCGAGAGGCAGCCACTGGGGGAGGGAACGCATCTTAGGGGACGCGTCCCGCGCGGAGATGGAGCGATGGATTCAGCTCGTGTGCAGCTGATAGGTTTAGAGTTGCATTGTGGGACCATGGGGGATGGCAGCAGCATGGGAAGTGCTTCATCCAGCAGTGGATTGATCACGGCTGATGATGGTGATGATAATGACGATGATATCGTCATAGCATCACGATATCCAGGGACATCCGAGCGAGGTGTTGACACTGCCGAGAATTTATCCGCGTTTTCGCCCGTGGTGGCGATGTGGTAATGATCTTTGCCGAGCGTACCGACCTCCTCCACCTCCTCCGCCTACTCCTCCGCCTGCTCCTCCACCACCTCCTCCGCCTCCTCCTCCACCTCCTCCGCCAACTCCTCCTCCACCACCTCCTCTACCCCCACCTCCTCCACCACCTCCTCTACCCCCACCTCCTCCGCCTCCTCTTCCACCTCCTCCGCCTCCTCCTCCTCCACCACCTCCACCTCCTCCTCCACCACCTCCTCCACCTCCACCACCTCCTCCACCACCTCCTCCGCCTCCTCCTCCACCACCTCCTCCACCTCCTCCTCCACCACCTCCTCCACCTCCTCCTACACCTCCTCCTCCACCACCTCCGCCACCTCTTCCACCTCCTCCTCCACCACCTCCTCCGCCTCCTCCACCATCTCCTCCGCCTCCTCCTCCACCACCTCCTCCTCTACCCCCACCTCCTCCGCCGCTACTCCCTCCTCCCCCTCCAGCTACGCCGCTACCTCCCACACGTTTAAGCGTTTACGCTGCCGCCTGATCTCGCGTCTCTCTGTCCCCTGCCGCGGAAGACGGCACTCACTCACGCATGCCTTTCCGAGCCGTCAGCTGTCCCTCCCCGCGTCCCCGCCGCAGGCATTCCTCTCTCCGCTTCTGCCCAAACGTTCAGAGTTCGTGAACCAACCGACATTCATTTGAAGCCGCGTCTGCCTGAGTTTGGCGGCGCGGCACGCCACGTCCAGTATACCTTTCGCACGCTACGCCCGTGCCTGAGGCTACTGCTAGTCACGCGTCCGTCTGCTACCGACCAAAAAAAACAATAATTAGTGAGAAATGAAGCGCTTGGAATCTTTGTTCGTGTACTGCACTTCGACAGGGCCCCCAAAGTGCGCGAAACCCAAGGTCAGATATTTCGCCGGAGGTGTTCGCCAAATAGCGGAGCAAGTTCAGTCGACCCCTCAAACTCACCCTCCTCCTCCCCCTCCTACCTCTCGTTCTCTCCGTGACCCCCAAATCTGGCCTAGCGCGTGGCGCGCGATGGGGCTCGCCCTGCCGGTAGCCCCGGGAAGGTGTAGGTCAGAAGGTGGAGGTCAGAAGGTGGATGTGAGATGGTGGAGGTCAGATGGTGGAGGTCACATTGTGGAAGGTCAAAAGGTGGAGGTCAGATTGTGAAAGTCAGATGGTGGAGGTCAAATGGTGGAGGTCAAAAGGTGGAGGTCAGATGGTGGAATGTCAGAAGGTGGAGGTCAAATGGTGGAGGTCAGATGGTGGAAGATCAGAAGGTAGAGATCAGATGGTGTAGGTCAGATTGGTGGAGGTTAAAAGTGGAGTTCAGAAGGTGGAGGTCAGAAGGTGGATGTGAGATGGTGGAGGTCAGATGGTGGAGGTCACATTGTGGAAGGTCAAATGGTGGAGGTCAGATTGTGAAAGTCAGATGGTGGAGGTCAAATGGTGGAGGTCAAAAGGTGGAGGTCAGATGGTGGAATGTCAGAAGGTGGAGGTCAAATGGTGGAGGTCAGATGGTGGAAGATCAGAAGGTAGAGATCAGATGGTGTAGGTCAGATTGGTGGAGGTTAAAAGTGGAGTTCAGAAGGTGGAGGTCAGATTGTGAAGGTCAGAAGGTGGAGGTCAGAAGGTGGAGGTCAAATGGTGAAGGTCAGATGGTGGAGGTCAGAAGGTGGAGGTCACAAGGTGGAGGCCAGAAGGTGGTCCGAGCTGAGGTCCCAGGTGTCTCTCCGTGGGCAGATCTGATCGCGACATCGTCTTACTTCGCACCGGATTACATTTCCAACGTAGGGTAAACATCACCTGGGCCACGCTGTCAGCCCCTCAGGACATTTTATCTGATGGGCGTTACATATAAAGCACGTGCGATTGAAATGTGCAGTTGAATTACAGCTGAGGGCTGGATTCGAAGCCAGGTTCCAGGGGTGCTGGCTCAGCTCTCTGAGCTCCGAGCCATCCGGCCGCCTCTTAAATCTCGCACCCTGGAACGCCCAGGGTCTGATGCAGCTTTTGCCAATCGCTACTGCGACAAATGTGCCAAGAACCTCCTGAAAAAAAATATATATGTAAGTCTTGAGACTCAGTGAAACTTTCGCGCACGGATAGACATTCACAATACTACTACTAATAATAATAAAATCAATCGCGCAGCTGTAGCCAATGTCTCGCGTAACCTCAACGTAGCCGTGGCCCTCTGTCCCGCAATGCTGTTCCACTTTTGTTCAAAAGTGGTTTCCCATTTCGCTTGCCATTTCAATTCCCGGGGCTGTCCGTCAGCGTAAACATTTGAACACTTTTAGGGGTGCAGCAGAGACACTCTCAATGTGTAAGAGTGCAAGTGAGAGGTCCCAGATCAAGTCAATGATTGTATACTGTACGGTTACGCAAATTGATGCAAAGTGCAATGGAGTAAGTAATTGGAGTCGTGCTGTTTAGGCGTTGTTAATAAAAAAAAATTAAACGAATTCTGAACCACATTCACCAGTCGTAGTTTTTTGACATTTGATTCGCAGGAATTTTACAGAAATAGTTTCCGTTGACTGGGATAAATTATTGAAAAAAAGAAAACATCTTTAAGGTTGAATTTCAGGACATGAAACGCGAGGCCTCTTTTTTTTTAAACACTGACTTTTTTTTAATAAGTCGAATTTTATTTTCAGCGGTTAACAGTCATATTAAAATGTGCCGCGCTAAACATATATATACATATAATAGGCGACGTTTCAGGAAACGGCCCTTCTTCACGGCAGCGACAGGAAGACATACCTTCCATCTCTCTGCCGTCAAGGGCCATTGTCACGAAACGTCGCCTAATAATATTTGTTTTTGTTGACCCGTCTATGCTGGACATTTATAAAAACGAGTTTCATAGCTCCTTGCAGTCTCACGAAACATTCGGATTGTATTGCCGTCTCTGCAAGTGCACCACGGCCAGCAGCAGCTGTCGCTCATTTCCACCGAAGTCTGAGAACGGCCGACGGATGAAGAGTAATAACGGAGCGGCAGCCAAGGAGTGGAACGCGTTCGGGAGGCGACGGGTCGTGGAAGCTTTCATCCAGCA